TATATTTAGGTATTTAGCACAGCTGGAAGAGTTGTCGATGATTATCGGTCGAATCTTGCCTCAGAATCAATCGAAATGTTAATATGCAGCCAAGATTGGTTAAATAATGCGGAAGAATGGGGCTTGAATTAAACTAGCAATAATTTTTTTTCTCTGTATTTTTTTTTTTTTTTGCATTGCAATTTTTTTTTTTTTTTTTTTTTGCATTTACGGGTTTATTTTTGGAACTGTGATTTTTTTTTTATGACATTTTCTTTATTTCACACAATTATTTAGAGCCAAATAGTTGCATCTTAAAATATGTGTTTATTCTTAGATTTTTAACTCAGATATTATGTCAGATGAATAAATATTAGATTCTTTAGTGCAGTATATAGTTGCTTGTTTAATTTGTAAAACACGGTAGTATAGTTAGAGTTGGGCCCTGTCAATTTACGGGTTGGGCCGGGCTTGTACCGGGCCCGGGTTCAGATTTTCAAGCCCGTAATCAGTTGGGCCGGGCCCAGGCTGGGTTTATAATTTAATGGGCCAGGTCCGGGCTCAGATGTTTAGGCCTGTAATCAATTTGGGCCGGGCTTATGCCGGGCTTGTAATTTAATGGGCCGGACTTGGACTCCAGTAAACCCGGTCCAACCCGGCCCATTGCACACCCTAATTTGAATTAATATCCTGAGTAGAGCATAGCGGGCTTTAATTCTGATTGGATAATCACTAAATGTATCGTCACATATTACACAGAAATTACGCTTTATAACATCCAATTAATCCGGAGAATGGTCAACTAATTCAGAAGTTAACGGCGGATGCAATAGGTTAAGGTAATTCAGCAATCGTCAAAGTAATTTGTATTTAAAAAAAAAACTTGAAATAGCGATTAGAGTTGTAAAATTACCCGTAATTTTAGTAAAATAATTTTTATGTAATTTGTAAGAAACGTGATCATACGACCATATGATTCCATGTGATTGGTTGGATCGTATGTCATTGATTTTGATCAGTAAACTTTATGCAGAGTCTTTGTAGTTCGATAATGCTAGCTAAGTTTTCGTAATGCTGGTATTTTATATCACGTGTAAAATTTACATTACATGAAATGTAAGATTGTAAAATGTAATTTTCAACCCTAATATATAGCTGTTTTTCAATATTTTTTTCTTAATATAAGTTTTTAAAAGCTACAATATATTAGATATAGTGTATACGGAAGATACGTACGATTACACGCTATGTGCTATAGTTAGTTTTGGTTTTTATACTTTTCATACTCTATGTGCGTGTATTATCTTTATTTGATAGTTGACTCTTTAATTTACTTATACTATTCATTCTTTATCTTGTTATTAAATTATGTACTATATATATATTTAGAAAGCGATTTTGTTCTACGTATATATGTATTTAAGTTTAGACATTTTTTTTTATTAAGTTTAACCAAATACACATTTGACAATAATGCGAAGCACGTACCACGAAGAGACATGTGCTTCGCATTATATCCCAACAATAAATCAGTTATCGTCTACAACATAACCGTTAACAAATACTTAACTAGTTAATAAAATTCTGTAAAAGATGTCTTAACATTTAAAAAAAATAAATCCAATGAACTTTTTTATTTTATTTTGATTTTACAGATTTATAAAACCAAAATAAAGTGAATTTAAATTTAATTAGCAAAGTGTCAAAATACCTTTATCCAAATTTTAAAATCTTAAACTCTAGACACAAAAGGATCAATCGCAATTAAGAATTATCGACTTGGTTTAGAAATTTGTGATGTGATTGGCTACGCCTCTCTCGGAGTCAATTGAATATTTACTCGATTAGAATTGGACACAAAATTAGATAAATAATACAACGTTTGCATATAATCATATATATTATGTACTTATTCACTTTCCCAAAAACAAAAATAGAATTATGCACTGTCTTTCACTACATAGCTCTAATAATATAAAAATCTAATAAAATTTGTTCTAAAAATATATACATGCATATACGTCTCTAAATAAAAATCTAAATAAAAAAAATGTCCTGCTATTATATGATTGCATGAGATTTGATGAATAGAAAGAAGGAAAATTTGCTAAATTTCAGTGTCGACAAGAGTTTTATAAATCTGATTAAATATTATTTGGACCATCAATCGTATCGATATTCTATATTGAAAATGAGATCAAAGAAGGTCGTCGAAAATGTAACTAAAATTTCTGTTCAAGAGGTTGGATAATATGTTTTGGGAATCGCACACTAAACATATAATTATGACGTCTAAGAAGTTAAAAAAAAGAAGCAGGATAATTATTAACTTCCTTACGGTATAACTAAATTTTTAAATAGTTGAAATAAAAGAATAAAACCTACTTTTCAAGAATAATTTCCCATGTATCAGGATTAATCCTAACGGGTGTTTCTCGAACTCGGTCATCAAACATTACGTGGTATCCTCGTTCTGAAAGAACGTCCATGATCATGTCAACAAGATGTTGGTTTTCAAGTTGGTGAGAAGTCCTAAGGTGTATATTATACATTTTTAAGATAAGAATATATACTAGATACAAGATGATATATATTAGAATTCATACGTTCGAATAAGAGCTTGTCCGCTGATAGCGTGACGTTGAACCATTGGGATAACATTATTGTCCACGAACTCGATAGCTTTCATAAAAAGTTCTGGTTCACTATCTTGGTAATGTTCAAGTCGACTAATTAAATCTTGTCGAGCATGAATACCGATTTTTGTTGCGATTGGAATATGTGCAATTGAATCGTAGGTCTTTTGATCTAAAATGAAATAATGTTTACTAATATTAATAGGGGAAAGCATAGATAAAATTATGATTTTGATAGATATGTAACATACCAAGTTCGAGAGAGCTTTGGTACTCAAATTCTTTTAGAATCAATCGCATAACTTCTTCAATCGATCCAACGGCATTAATAAGATCTATGAATGAAAGAAATTAAATGCCTGAAATGTTAAATTACAACATTTATTTATTATTCATATCATTAGTTTTACTTACGGAAAGGGAAAAGTTTTACAAGCCTCATCAAAGCTCCGAAATGTTCTCTGAATATTTGATAACGTGCTCTAATCAGCTAAAAGTAATATAATAATGATTATTATGTTGACTAAATATACAAACACAAATAAATACATCTTTAGCCCAATACTAACCAATTCATCATAATCCGTAACTCGCTCTTCTATAAATTCTCCCTGTCCCGTTCGTCGAACTGTGGCATTATGTTCTCTGATTTGTCGTCCTCGCTGTAATTGGCGAGCGACAGAAACATCTTCATCAACGTATAACACACAAATACGAAAAGTAGGACGACTATGTAATTGTCCAGTTTTAAAAATCAATATTTCGAATTGTTCAAACAATTTGTTTAATGATTATACATACGGGAATTTATCTTGTAATAGAGTCCCCCAAAATTCTCGACGCAATTCATGCATCTTATCATAAAGAAGTTTCAGACATTCCACCTGAATTTCTGTACGAGGGAACCCATCCACAAGACAACCCACTGTCGGATCACAATCAAGAAGTGCACGTAACAAATTCTCAAGAACCTTTCCATCGCCTATTAATATAATTGTTTAATTGAATATCATAACTATTAAAATATATTTAATTCTTAGTTTAAAGTAAACACGCACTAATCATTTTGCCCTTGTTTATTAACTCTTGACAATCTGGCGTTGTTAAAAGAGACGACATGCAGATCGCAGGATTGGTAATACCACGTGCTTTTAAAATCAAATCTGTATGCGTTCCTTTGCCGCTTCCAGGCGCACCCATTAACCAAATAATCTCTCTTGGAAGACTACATTTAAATATTATAAATTTCATGAATAAATTAATTAATACTACTCGATTTAAATATATATGCGCATAATTTCAGACTTACCAAAGATTTTCTCGACCGTACGCGTCCTCAATATTTTTCCAAGCCTGATTAAATATGAGTTTTGCATTTTTAATTTCATTTACTCTGTATTACAAGATTAGTGAATATATAAATATATATCATATTAGCTATGTATGAGCAATTTAATGCTAAAATGGATGACCAAAAACCCTGCCCGGAACTGTTAAAATTATAAAACCTGCTTAAAAGACATCACTAGACTAAAGTGTCATACCTTTGTCTTTCATCTTCTGGTAAATGCTGTTCCCCATTGGTTAAGACCGGTGATGTAACAATTTCTATAAAAAAGATTAGCATTTGATTGAAATTAAAATTATACAGTATATAAATCGGATCGGATATATGCTATGTATATAGTTTATTAATACCATTAACCCGAGCAGTTGCTGTAGGTAAATTTCGAACTACAGTCATATTGGGACGCATTTTTGAAATATCGACATTTGATGACCGTTGATAAACTCTATCGTTTCCTACTAACGATCTAATGCTTCTAGATTTATCGGCAGCAGGCCTCGTGCTAGAATCGACAATACCTTGTTGAAGTGTTGAAGAAATAAACTTATTTCGTTGTGATAAAGTGGTTCCCTTAGTCTGTTTTAAGACACTCGGAGAATTAAGGAATGAAGGTATTGTGCGTGAGGAAAAACTACGACTCATGTTAGATGAGGCGTTCCTTACACATGATGTAAGGTGATAAGGTTTTAAAACAGAAGACGAAAAACTAGACATTTCTCTCAAAGAAATGGTATCTAATATTCGAAACGCAGGTTTAAAACAAAATTATGTTTAATTGTAGTAGTTCTAGTGGCTTTATGAAATTCCTCACGCTAGCACGAGGCTATGCCAAAGCCGAAGGATAAAAGTAATGATAATGTAGTGGATAATGATGTGGATATTTTTGGATCTCTAAATCATATGCATTATAAAAGAAATGTCAGAATCAATGCTGTAACCATTTTTGGCAATTATATTTTTGGAACGTAGATACGTATTTAAAACTTTAACGTTAATTTGTATTTGAATTTCCATATTAGATATTGAGGTGTGTAATTAGAATTTTATTATGATATTAAAAATGTTTGTTAAACTCGTTACATTTGAATAAACTTATTCGACAATAAATTATAAGATAATGAACTGTTGAAAATAACAACCATTTTAATAAATTCAATTGATAATTGATTACAAATAACAAAATTTGCATTAAGCATTGCGTATATGCTTCAAATTGTCCGAAATATGGCCTAGAAACTCATCAGTAGTGACGTAGTGTTCACGTTTGAGGCTTGAATGATGTGATAAGAAATGAATAATTAAGATTGCATTAAACAAATGCATTTACAAAACATAACTTACTCGTTGCCGTGGAGTGCCAATGCAAGGTCCTTTGTCATTTTACCGCTAACATCTACGGTTTCAATGCACGCTCTCTCCAAATCTTGTGAAAATTTTAATAGCTCTTGATGATCATCCAATGCTGCTCTGTGTGCTAGACCACGTGTCCAGGCAAATATCGACGCAATTGGATTTGTAGATGTTTCTTTGCCCTAATTTAAAAAGAATTGAAATGCTCTTAAACTTGCAAATAGTGGCAGTAATTTATTAATTTATTATGACATACTTGCTGATGTTGGCGATAATGCCTTGTTACCGTACCTACAAAAGTTCAATTAAATATACATACATTTTGTATTAAATACTATTAAATACTATTAAATATTATTAAATATTTGTTACATAAAATCTATACCATGAGCGGCCTCTGCTTCCATAGTTTTGCCATCGGGTGTAACAAGCACGCTGGTCATTAAACCTAATGACCCAAATCCTGTATTGTAAAATGTGGTCTATATATTATTATGTCCTGTAAAGTTGAAACAAATAACCATTCATGAATCTGTTAATACCTTGGGCCAAAATATCGGACTATATGATCATTTTTCTCAATAATGAGTTGCCATATTAACAGCTCAAACAAAAATAATTCAACTTGTTAAATCATACCTGTACATCACTAATGAAATGTATATAGTATTAAAATAAGTACAACATTATGATTAAACATTTTTAAAAAATAAAAAGACAACATAAATTTGGTGTCATTACCCATCATAATTTTTGGTTGCCCATACAAATCCACCACTTGATTTAAGGGCTTGAGCGACCATGTCATCTATGAGTCTATGCTCATACCATATATTCTTTGCTTCAAATTTACTTTTATAATCCCTTTCATATATTTCATGAAAAATATCTTTGAATCGTCCGTCATACTTTTTCAAAATAGTATTTTTGGTACTTAAATACTAAATTTGAGATGTGTTAAGCTAATATTCGTATGTTGTATAATGTTAAACACGAAGAAAAAATAAATATCTATTACCAAAGGCATTTCCACTTTCAAGGCCATTTGAAAACTGCTATGAGCAAAACCTGTGATAGACTAAAATTAAAAATAGATCATGTTTATAATCAATATGTAATTAAGTTCCATACACTATCAGCAATATTTATAAATAATATAGATACCTCATCAGTGTTGTACATAGCCATGGAAACTCCAGGAGACTATATACATATTTTAAATTAATATGTATGCGCGTTTTTTTAACAAAAAATATATATATATATAAATGTACCGAGAACTCATGTACTAATTCACACTGTTGGTTGGAATCATCACTGGGTTCGAAAAGTAGTTTAAGTTTACCAGGGCGATCGATAATTAATTCTGTGGCTCTATACTATTAACGATTTAATCGATTTAATTGTATATAATCGATTAATCAGGAATATAAAAATTAAATCAATTAGATCAGCATTTAGATCAGTATTGTACCAACCTGATCTCCAAATGCATGCCTTCCAATAATTATGGGTTTATTCCAGTTAGGGACTACACGTGGAACATTCTTCAATAGAATTGGCTCACTAGTAAAATCGATAAACTAAATAAATAATCAGAATTGAACTCGATTCGACTATTAAAATGTTTACTGACCGAAATACGACGCCATTCAAGATATTACGAATTGTTCCATTCGGTGATCTCCACATTTTTTTAAGGTTAAATTCTATAACAAACAATTCCTCTTAATAACAAAATTACTAAATAAAAAATTGGATAATCCTTAAATATCAAGCTAACCTTTAACTCTCTGTTCATCTGGTGTGATTGTTGCGCACTTTATGCCTACATTGTATTTCTTGATCGCCTCAGCAGCATCAATGGTTACTTGATCATTGGTCTAGTAAAAAATAATATATATATGTAAAAAAAAACAAATATGACCAAATAAACTCTTCGAATAAGAAAAAAATTTATATTTGTTACAGCGTCGCGGTTTTGAATTCCTAAATCATAATATTTGATTTCAAGTTGGACGTATGGGAAAATCAACTACAGAAACATAATGAAATTCAAATTTTACTTTTTTATTTTTTTTTTAATAATTTTACATTAAAATTGTAGGACTTTTTTTACATTTTTCTTGATCCTGTCCCAAATTATACGAGTCATTTCATCTCCATCTAAATCCACCACTGGGTTCTTGACAACGATACGCGAATTTTGTGAGCCCTGTGCATCTGAAAATATATTGCGAAATTACTTGAACACGACGAATCTGACACTTTAAACGACTTTAAATGCCAAATTATACCAAAGAAGCATACAATGCCGCTTCTTTATAGCTATTGGGCCAAAATTTTTTTCTGCTATGGCAGTAAATTTAAAATGTTTTGCTTTTAAAAATTGTCGATACATTATAGATAGATCTAACTTGTTTTTTTTGGCTAAAATGATATTGATAATCTACAGTCACGTTATTAGAATGTCATGATAATTTGATCGATCGGTTGATCGATCTGTTTTTTCGTGTCATAAAAACAATGACACCTTTTAATCTGTCACGTTTTTTTTATACAAGTATATCTTTAAGGACTTTATCCAATTTTAAGTTATCGCATAGATGTTTTGGCATAAAACGATATGCTAGTACCACTGCTATATCATCTGAAAAAATAGCGCCGAAAGTTGATCCTGAAGATTTGGTATGTCGTCATGAATACGACATAATGAAAAATTTTTTTTGTTGTCAATAAATGCACAAATACATAAAATTATATAATTATATTACCGAGATTAGCTTCGTCTTCAACGATTACGCAATATTGGTATCAGCGCCCACATCGATTCCGGAAAAACAACATTAACTGAGAGAATTCTCTATTATACCGGACGAATAAAGTAAATTCAATTTAATAAAGTCAATTGCTTAACTGATATAAATGTTAACTAACTAATTAAACCTTTTGATGATTAGAGCGATTCATGAAGTCCGCGGAAAAGATGGTGAAGGTGCTAAAATGGATAGTATGGAGTTGGAACGTGAACGAGGAATAACTATCCAATCTGCCGCTACATATTGTAATTGGAATTGGAAAGACCATGGAGACTATAATATCAATATCATTGATACTCCAGGTTAGATATAATGTTTAATGCTTATAATAAAGGCTACTGTATTATGTAGTTGTATAATATAAATTAAATTATTTCAATTTATGCCTTGGAAAGGTCATGTTGACTTTACAATCGAAGTTGAACGCGCTCTTAGAGTTCTTGATGGTGCCGTGTTAGTTTTATGTGGTGTTTCTGGAGTTCAGGTATGTTTCTGCATATCACAATTATCGCGTCTTATCAAAAGATTATCAATGCGCGTGCGGTTATATTATTAGAGTCAAACTATCACCGTAGACCGTCAAATGCGTCGATATAACGTTCCTCGTATATCTTTCATTAATAAATTGGATCGGTACGTTTTATCGAAATTTTAAATTATGAAACTTCATTTTATTTACGCGTTTATATTACTTAGTATTGGAGCAAATCCTTTTAATGTCATTGATCAAATTCGACAAAAGCTAAAAATTACTGCCGCTGCTGTACAAATTCCTATTGGACTCGAAGACGAACTAAAAGGTGTCATCGATTTAATTAAATGGAAGGCTGTTTATAACGAAGGAAATCGTGGGTAAGTACGAATAACACTAATATATACTGCACAATTCATGACTTCTCATTGGTTAATCCCTTTTGATTGATGTTTACATACAGTGATAAAGTTATAGAAAAGGAAATTCCAGAAAATCTTATTAAATTGGCAACTTTAAAAAAACAAGAATTAATAGAAAACCTTGCTGATGTAGATGATCAAATTGCTGAAATATTTTTAATGGAAGAAACACCTACTTCGGAGCAGTTAATGGTGTGCAAACTTAACAAACTTGTTCCGTAACACGTTATGTATAATCTAACAAGCTTTCTTATGCGAATGATTAAATAACGTTGAGATTTAGGATGCTATTCGACGCGCAACTATAGCTAATAAGTTTACTCCTGTTCTTATGGGATCAGCTTATAAAAATACTGGAGTACAACGCGTGCTAGATGCTGTATGCGCGTTCCTTCCTAATCCAGCCGAGGTGCATAATACTGCTTTAGATATTAGTCGAAAGGAAGCTCGAGTTGATCTAATTCCATACTCGAAAAACAATTTTGTTGGTTTGGCGTTCAAACTGGAAGAAGGAAAATATGGACAGCTAACATACATTAGAGTCTATCAAGGAGCTTTAAAAAAAGGTTCCTTTATCACAAATTCTAGAACTTCAAAGAAAGTCAAAGTGCCAAGACTAGTTCGAATGCATTCAAACGAGATGGAGGTACTATTTTCTTTGTTACCTATTTTATTTTATTTTAAAATTTATATTGCTGATATCATGTTTAGGATGTTGACGAAGTTGGTGCTGGTGAAATTTGCGCTGTGTTTGGTGTTGAATGTTCTTCGGGAGATACATTCACTGATGGGTCGCTGTCTTATACAATGGTATGTTCTTCATTAATCTTTGATAAAAATAAGTGACGAATGATTTGTCAACCGAAACAGAAGACGGAATGGCTTGATTATATAGTTATGCAACGAGTTAACGAATTTTAAAATATTTCATTATAATAATGTTTTGATAGACAACTATTTTTATATGAAAAATTAAAATATGTGAAAATTTCTGTTCTTTTTCTTTGGTGTATAGACATCTATGTTTGTCCCAGACCCAGTAATTTCTTTATCGATCACACCGAAAGTCAAAGACTCTCCGAATTTTTCAAAAGCCCTAAATAAATTTCAGAAGGAAGATCCTACCTTTCGTGTTACATACGACATAGAAAGTAAAGAAACTATTATCTCTGGAATGGGCGAATTGCATCTAGACATTTATGTTGAACGCATGAAGAGAGAATATAATGTTGATTGCATAACAGGCAAGCCTCAAGTGGCTTTCAGAGAAACCATAATGTCAACTGCTAAATTCGATTATACGCATAAAAAGCAAACTGGTGGAGCTGGTCAATTTGGTAAAGTAATGGGATATATTGAACCATTAAAGGAGGTAACGGATGAAGATGAAGAACCACTTCCAATATTTGAAAGTCGAGTTGTTGGCGGACATATTCCTTCAAATTTCATTCCGGCTGTCGAAAAGGTATTTATTATTTATAGACCAGTAAATTACACTTATTGTATTAACAAACTGTAATTTAACCTAATAGGGTTTCCAAGACGGTCTAGAAAAAGGTTCTTTAATTGGACATCCAATTAAAAATGTCCGGTTTATCCTTGAAGATGGAGCCCATCACGCTGTAGATTCTTCAGAACTTGCATTTCGTCTTGCAGCGTTGTACGCATTTCGAGATGCATTTATGAAGGCCAATCCCGTCATTCTGGAACCTATAATGAATGTATCTGTTACAGCACCAGTTGAATTTCAAGGGACTGTCATCGCCAATTTAAACAAACGAAAAGGTACCATTCTTGATACAGAGGTTCAAGAAGATCATTTTGTTGTAACTGCAGAGGTTTCTTTAAATAATATGTTTGGATATTCATCAGATTTAAGAAGTGCTACACAGGTAAATTTAAGCTATGTTTTCAAGATTAATATTTAATTATGGATAAAACTTATTTATTATAATTTCAAAACTAAAATATAGGGCAAAGGCGAATTTACAATGGAGTACAAAACACATCAACCTGTTCTACCTTATGTTCAAGAAGAATTAATTAATGAATATAAAAAAAAGAAATTAGCAGAAAAAAAATAGATCAATTAGATTGTCAATACAAAAAAAAATTATCTATTGAAAAATTAGCTTAATATGTTTAGATAATAAAATTTGAAATTTACCAAATATCATTAAGGAGACTTTATATTACAACAGTCTCGTTTATACAGTTTCATATTAACAACAGCAAAGTAGTTAAAAATTTTTGAAATTACAGTCAAACCTCTCTGAGTGCATTCCCTGAGACTACACTTTAACGTGTATTTAAAGAATAATAATAAGACAAAGTGCATTTATAGAGGTCAATTACTGTATTTGGGCAGAATTTGAGTGCAGTTAGAGAGGGTGTGTATTTATAGAGGATACACTTAGAGAAGTCTGACTGTATATATATTTAAAAATAATCTAGAAAACTAGTATTGATTAGAGTCTGCTTGGGTTAGGATTAAGTTTTAGTATTACACATAGCATTGCATTATAAACATTTTAGTGTATCAAAGTCAGTAATAATAATTTTCTGCTGTAACTAAGACTAAATTCTACAAAAAGTCTGATATGATGTAACATATTCTGCGAAATTCTATAATAATTTAATTGACAATCCGTTTCCGAATGAGGCAACTATACATAGTAAATTGTAACGCGTACAATAAGTATATAATGTATCGTTCATTATCCGTTATTATTATTAATCAAGAATTACAATCTTTAATATTATCAATATATTTAGATATTACTTTCACTTAACGTTAATAATATTACTTTATTAAAAACTTGATTACATAGTTGGTATTTGATAAAGACAGAAAACTTTTTACAAATCTAATTTTAAATTTTACCAATAAAATTTTACAAAAAAATAAATATAATTAAACTGTAAATTTGAAATCGTATATTTAATGTAGCATCATCCAAAGGGAAAAAAATAAAAACCAAAGCCAACCTATTGTATACTAAAGAAAAATAAAAAATAAAATTAATAAATAGCCGGATAAATGGCCAAATAACTAGTCAATATTATGTGGTATGTTTCCTCTCCCACCTAGACACTTCCAATAAGCCAGTAACAAACACTAACACTTGCAAGAGCCAGTTATGAAAACTTAGTTAAACACCCTTATATCAAGCCAATAAATACTAATAGCCGACTAGACACTTATTGAAAGCCAGATGGCCAAAATGAAACATACCAAGGTTTATTACTTCGATAAAATACTAATTCCTCCTTTAAAATCAGTAGATCTTAAACAAAAGGTTATAACTTTTATGTTTTCGAAAATTGAGACCATTCATAATACTAATCTTCTTCTTGTTGCAGGTATGTGGCATCATCGTCATTTTCTTGTTGTGGGTATGTGATAGGGGACGGAATGGGCCGGGCTAAACCCGGAAATTTGTAAATTGGGCCGGGCTTGGGCTAGGCCCACTAAAATATCGGACTAGATTTGGGCCCAATAAAAAAGCCCATACAGCCCAATAATACCCGATAACTTTCTAGTAAATATTGCCATTTGCTAACAATTAAGAGAAATTCAATTGTTAGTAATAGTTGAAATTAACTATTCTACTTTATTATTTGATTGAAGCTTAGTGGCAGAGATGATAAGGCTAGTCAAGGCTTGTTCGATTTTAAGTTCTAATTCTTGAACTACTTTATGAGCAATCATACTAATAGATGCTCCACTATCTACAATAGCTTGGTAGGGTCTGTTTCTAATTTGGATATTGCATTTGACAGGTGTGGTGGTTGGTTCAGGAGTAATGGTAAGAGATTTTGCTTCCTGGCTTAAGTGGGCAAAGAGAGCATTTCGGATGGAAGGGTTGTCTAGTAGGGTTTCCCATTTCTTTTGGCTTATGGGTGATGAGGGTTTAGAGTTCTGGTCGAGGTAGTTGACATTACGGTGGTAAGGAGAAGGTGAGCGATTGGAGAATCGTCTAAAGTTGTTAGCGTAGGAATAGTAGCTATCTCATTTTCGAGAATAATCTCGATATCGGAGATAACTATCACGACCTCTAGATCTATTCCTATCTCTAAATCTGCTTCGGTCAAACGATCTGAAGTAATTTCTGTTTCAGCTTCTAGATTGATCATTTCTTCGATTACTGTAATGATCTCGGCTCTGTCTCATGATCGTGACTGATTCTTCTGCTTAGTACGACATTGGGCAACGAAATGTCCAGTGTGTCCACAATAATGGCAGGTAGGTGGTTGTCTAATTCTATTAGCAGTTGTAGAGTTTTCAGCATAGTGTATAGAAGTAGGTGCAGGTTTCTGTTGAGCGAGGTTAATGCTAAGTTGAGCTATCTGGTCAGTTAGTTGTTTGATAGCTTGGTCTGTGTCTGTGGTAGGTGAGGATATAAGTCGGTCATTTTCCTAATTATGAGCAGCATCGATGGCAGCATTCAAGTTAGCAGATTCTCCAGCTTAAACTTCAATAGCATATTCAGGTCGAAGTCCTTGAATAAAAAGTTGAAGGATGAAATCATCAGGAAAATCATCGGTAGGGTCTACACGGGCTTGTAATTTCTTGAACCGGATTACATAGGCATCGACTGAGTCTATTCCTTGCTTGATATCAAAGAATTGTTTTTGCCATTTGATCTTTTGATTGGTGGAGCTGAACTTAGTTTTAAAGAGGTGGTAGAAGCTTCGGTCTACGTCGTGTGCATTTTTGAAAGCATTAGGCACTGGGTTAAGACCTCGGAACCATTCAGCAGCAATTTCTTTCATATTGGCTAGGGCAAAAGCAAGTTGTCGAGCAGCACTTCAGTTATTAGCAATAGCAGCTTGTTCAAATTCTTCTAACCATTCTATAGGGTCTTTTTTTCCATCGCCAGTAAAGAAATCAATTCTGAGGAGAGACTTTTCACCACCGAGCGCAAGGGCATTGGCCATGTCAGTCATAGCTTGAGCAGCATTGTTGAGGGCAGCTTCAACTATATTTACGGATGATACTATGGGTGAAGGTATTACAGGTGGTTGTGGTGGTGGTAGATTAACCTCGGGTTGTTCTGGAGGAGGTAATAGGTTTTCTCTGAGTCATTCTGGTGGTAGTAGATTTGCTTCAGGTAAAGGTAAGTTATTGTTGAGTTGTTCTTGGTAGTTTTCTGGTAATTCAAAGGTTTCAGTTGAGGTAAAGATTTCTTGGACAGTACTATCAGAGTCAGAATTATTTTCTTGATCTGGATTTCCTGAAGGTGGAGC